TTGGGCATGGCAGCTAAGATGTCTATGTGCATGTATGTAGGGCTCTGTGGTACAGGACAGGGTCTGGTCTGTGAACCTGAGGGTATCCATTTGTTTTCTTGCCCTGGCTCTTGTAAATATCAGGGTATATCTGTCCAGCTCCCTAGTTCTGGTGAAATGCACCTTGTGAGTGCGTGTCTGTGTTGCCAATGAAAAATTAATCAGTCGACCTAAAAAAGAAATGGAAAATTTTATTCAAGTCAAACTTGAGGATTATAACCTGCAAAGGGCATCTCAGAAAGCTCTGAGATGTTCCACTGGTTAGAAATCAAGGCACAGTTATATAAATTTTTTGAGACAGAAGGCTGTACATCAAATGATGTATTGACAGTTTACATAATCCAGATCTAAGTGTCATCCTGGTGGGTCATGTGACCTCTTACAAGATCAAGAAGGAATGTTACCTTTTAAGGAGTTCTCTTGTTGGTGCTAGAAGAATGTTGTTCTTTATGGTTGAGAAGATCTTCTTGCCAATGGGGAGTTTGGTGAATGCATAAGGCAGATACACAATGCACAGGGGGAGAGAGGAGGCTAAAGGGCAGAAGAGTTTTTTATGTTTAAATTTTCCTTGTCTTGCCATAAAATATGAATTTTATTTCGCAATGTGTGTATCTAAATTGTTTTTACACTACTCTGCAATGTGATATCTTCACATTTAGCTCCATGCAATAACAGCTCACTTATTGAGGGCCTAATATTGCCAAACACCTAACAGAAACTCTTATTGTGAATTCACTCATTCTAACAACACTTTGAGGTAGGTATTATTACTATTATACATTATTATTATCATCACCATCCCCATTTTACCCATAGGGAAACTGAGACACAGAGAAGTAAAATAATTTGTGCAAGGCCTGAGAATTAGTAAGTGCCAGAGCCAGGGTTCTAACTACAAAGTCATGCAGCTTTGGTTCAGTCTCCTCTGATTTTCTATAACAGCTCTGCTAATCCTTCAAGGCAGGCTCAAGCACTTGCTTTTTTTGGTAGAGTCCTATCCAAGCAGCGCCATCCTCCGTCTAATTTTCTGAACTTCAGGAGTTTCTTTTGCCTTTATCACTCTCTATCAGGAATGCTAGGTTTTCCCAGAAGGAAGTTGAGAGTATATCATACAAAAAGTTTCTGATCCACGTAAAGATTGAAAAAAAATTCCTTTTACAAGGTTTTAACCTTCTGGACCATTCTCTCAACAGATAAGCTCTTAATGGAGGCCCCTGATTAGTACTAATCATCATTCAAGCCACCACAAGCCCATGAACCCCCCACCCAGGGGACAATGTAGTACATGCTTGTTGAATGATTAAAATGAAACATATTCAAATTGCCCAATTAAGTTTTTCTGTAAGATTCTATCACTTATTCTTCATCTTTCTGGTTGAAAAAGACATAGTAGGTAGTAGTAGGGTAGGGAATTGTTGAATATTTTGCTTTGCTAAAGTCTTTCACTTTTTTTTTCTGTTTACCTATATGTAGAAATGATAGTCAAAAGAATTAAGATATATGGCCTGACCATCAGCTAATCAGAAAGAATCATGGCCCTAATGCAAGAGCAGGGTCAGGTATCAATCCTTTCGATGCCGGATCTTAGGAGGGGTGTGGAGGCAATTCTTTGGAAAGAGACTTGGAAATTTCTTGGAAAGAGACTTAGGAAGCTTAAGGACAGAAGCTTGTTACCAACCCGCATGGAACTGTTTCACTATTTTAACAATTGATATGGCCTTATGGATGCCTCCCAGCTGAATAGCAAGCTCATTTGTACTTTCAAGTGGCTCCATTTATGACTTTAGTATTGTACATCTCAAATGCTTTTAATTTACCTAACAAGATAAATTATATTGAATATCCTAATCATCTTGGGCATATTTGTGGACATAGGGTGAGATGAACTTGCCTTGCAAACTTTAGGCTACAAATAGCACCAACATTTTCTGATTAACTTAAAAAATTTTTTTCAAGAGAACAAATCCACACTTTTATTTATTTACTTTTCAATAAGTTTAAATCCTTGAGGGGTACAGCATCACACAGATTCTGTGTTCAATAGCCTTAGCAGGAAGATTGCTTCAGAATTTGGCACGACCCATGCCACTGTTTCCATGAGCATGAGTTACCTTTCCCCAGATTACTCTGGTTTTGTTCGGTTTTCCACCAGGAGTTACTGTGTTGTATTTTGCTTTGTACACATAAGCACATCTCTTAACGAGACAGAATTCAATTTCATCTCAAGCATAAACACCTTCAGTTTTAAGAAGAGCTATGTGCTCTCTCTGGTTCCAGAGACCCCTCTTATAGCCAGCGAAAAACAGCCTTGGACCACAGCCTTCCAGACACATTTGTCGTTTTAGAAGTTCTATTCCCAGCAGGCCTCCACGGTCTCCAAGATGGCTCAACCTGAAAATATCTTTGATGAGACTTTTGTTTTATTTCTTGGGAGACAATACTGCTTTATTGAATCCTGGCTTGACCATTACTTTATAAAGGAAAGCTAAGAGGGAAAAAATTAAATGAAGGAATACAATAATAAAATCTCCTTACATGTCATTTGGTATTTCATTTTGTTTTAATACACATTTATTAAGATCATTTACTGGGTACCAAAAGTATTGTGGAAAATGCAAAGATGAATAAGGCAAGCTCCCTGCCCTTCAGAGGCTGCAGAGGGGATTTAATGGGGGAGCCTAAAGCAGGATAATGGGAATGAATGGAAGAGTACAGGGTGGTTAAAAAAAAAAAGTGAGTCTGGAGTATGGAGTGGGAGGAAAGAAGTATTCTGGAGGCAAGTCTGGAAAGGTGGAGTGTTAGGATGCTTTCTGTTGTAAATGACCGAGACCAACGCAAACTACCTTGAGCAAAAAGGGATTTAATTGGTAGTATACCTGTGAGGTCTAAAAAATATAAACAGATGGTCCCATGGATCTGGGGTAATAATGGTGTATCAATGCAAGTTAATCAGCTGTAACAAATGCATCACCACGGTGCAGGATGTTGATAGAGGGGGCAGGAGTATCTGGGAATCTGTACTTTCTGCTCAGTTTTGCTGAACCTAAAACTGCTGTACAAAATAAAATCTATTAAAAAAAAAAAGGTAGGGCTGCTATTAGCAGACAGCCTTTTGAATGGAGACATGAACTCATATATTTAAATTTAAAGAAGCAAAGTGACCCTGCTAACCAAATGGAGGCCTGAGAAGCAGCAGCTGTCCAGCTGAGATTGTTCTCAGCCTTTGAATTTTCACCGCTTTTCTGGGATCACTCCTTTGTTTCGGTGTTGAGGATCTATATTAGTGATAATGAGTAAATCTAGTCATTTGGCAAATGTGGCTTTTTAATGAATTTTATGTGCCAGATCTTGTGCTTAATGCATGGTGGAGGAAAAATGATAAATCACTGTCCCTGCCCTCCAACTTCATTGACTGATACAGTTTGTCTCAAACAGCAATCCAATGATCACCTATATTGGAAGCACTTTGAGGCACTTGTTAAAATCACGGAATTTAGGACCTTATTGTAGACCTTCCAGATAAAAATCTGTGGGTGTCTTACACAGGAATTTGCATTTTTAAACTAGCATCCAAGAGCCTTGACACTCAAAATGTGGCATCATCTGGGAGTTCACTAGGGGTGCAAAGACCCCACTCCAGACCTCTTGAATCATGATCTGCTTTTTAACAGAATCCTCAAACATTAAATTTTGAGAAGCACTGTTCTAGAAGATTCTGTCACATGCTTAAGTTTGAGACTTGATGGTCCGGGAAGACTAATGAGTCTTTAGATGAATTCGGCACAATGTGATGAGTGCATTCATAGAGGAACATGTTAGTTCCTCAGGCATGCAGAAAAGGAACAGTTTTCTCTGTTGGAGGTTTCCAGAAGTGTGACAACATTTGCTTCTTAAATAGCAGGGAGAAGCTGGCCAGGCTAAGAGGATGGGGCAGTGGTGGGAGCACTAATCAGAGGAAACCACACGTCGAAAGTTCTGAGGCAAAAGAGAACACTGCGTGTTTAGGTAACAAGAAATGTACCTCAAATAGCTACGTAAGTTTTTAAACAAACTTATTTAAACTCTAAACATCAACCAAAAGTGATATTCTGAAAAAATCAATGGTTAAAATTTTTTTAATCTATCGTTAAAGGAGTGGGGGGGATCAGATTTTTGAAGTCCCATCATTCTGCTTTCTCTGCCCTCCTTTGGCAATTTTTTTTGCATCCATTTCTTCATTCATTCATTCAAACATAAAAACATTGGGCACTGTGCTTTGTACCTATTATGTAGTGGTGTGTGAAATCAAAATATTTCCTGCCCTCAGGGAGTTTATAGGCGAGGCTAGGGTGGGAGTGGAGAAGCCAATAAAACAGGTTAGTTTAAAAATGTTTAATTATACACTGAGGAAAGAGCTAAGTGTGCTATGATGGAGAATAAAGCACGAAACTTGCAGGAAGGTCTTTTAGCCAGACCAACACATCCTCTTGCAAAGTGACCAAAGTCATTGTGGGGTGAGTCGGGGTTTCTCACTAAGGAGCACTCGGGTCACACTGGGCGCGCGCGCGCGCGCGCGCACACACACACACACACACACACACACGAATTGGTTTTCATCGCAGCTTCAAACCTGAAATGTGAAGCAATTTCTAGGTTCTGAGAGTCCTATTTTCAGAAAGAACTTATCTGAGTAATTCTCTTAGACAAGAGATCTGCTAAAAATGGGTCTGGTCCCTGGTATGTTCCAAGTGAAATACAATTGCAAACATCCATTCGGGCGTTGAGAGGAGCAGTGAGGAGACTGCGGCACACGCTATTGTTTTCAAAATGTGATGAAAACAGTGTATAAGAAAATAACGAAATATGGAGGCCAGGCGGGTGCGGTCAGTCCCTGCCTGGCGCTGGGTCCCTAGGGCAGGAAAGACGAGCCTTCGCAGGCTGGAACCTTGTGTGTCCGGGTCTCGCTTCCCGGGCTGCTGGAAGGAAGCATTTAAGTGTGGGACTGCGAGAAGCGCTTGTAAACAGAGAGCCGGGCCGGGATGGTAGGTGGCCAAAAACCGGCTGTCACCGTGAGGCGGGCTTGCTGCCGAAGCCGAGCCCCAGCCAGGCGTAGACTGCAGGCCCCTCAGGTGAAGGGAGAGAAGCAGCCGGCGGCCAGGTGAGCATCTGCCTGCCTCTGTGCTGCCTGGCTGGCCATTGGGGGAAGGGTGTGGGGATGACAGCGTTGTAGACATCCGAGAAGCTCCCTAGGGTACCGGTGATTTTGCTATTTCTTCCATGCTCTGTTTTTATTTCATCCTGAAAACTGCACAACGATGCAATGGATAATAGATGAGGGGAGATTATTAGATGCATTGTCTGTTTATTTTGTGAATCAGGTATACAACTAGAAAGCAGTTGAAATAGCTGACCCTGTTCTCTGCGTTGTTTTTACTGCCCTCCCCCCCGCCCCTTCTGGGTCCTAGAAACCAAGCCTCAGCAGAGCTTTTAACTCATATTAAGCTGGGGTTCCCGGAGTAACAACTATTGTTTCTTCTGTTGACCTCGCTCATTTTTAATATATAGTAAATAACTCTATGTGATTGATAACAAGCATGATTTGGTCTTCTGTGAAAGGATTACTAAGCTTAAAGATCAAGGAAATTTCAGACCCACTCCTCAAATAAAATAAGTTACAACTAAGATATATAAATGAATGACAAATTGGGACTGGTCTGGATTTATAGCTTGCAAAGCAGATTTGAATTTACCAGGTTTAAAATGAGATTGAGCTATGCTGTTGTAAACTTATCTGGAAGTTGTTTTTTCCTCCTTGAAAAAGAGAAGTACCTTTTTTTCTTTATTATTTTAATTTCAGTAATTATAGGAAATTGCAATTTGGATTCACTCATAAGATATTTTATAATAAAATACCACATGTAGATTATAATTGGCACACCTTAAGATACAAGGCAATTTTTGTTTCATTAACTTCAAAAAATGCCTTAACCAAAATTGGGCTAAAAGGTCAGTAGACATGTGTCACCTTGTCACATAGTCTAACTTCTAGTTAGTAGAAGAATATTAGGTTAAATTGCACATAGAGAAGTGTTAAATCACATGCATCAAGGAAATAATATTAACGCCTGATGAGTTTGTCTTTACAGTGAATATTTTCACAATGTAAAGGTTAATAGCAAGAACTGTAATGCTATTCTGGGTTTGAATTCCTGCTTGGCCACTTCCTATTGTGTAACCTTGGGCAGTTTATTTGCCAAGTTTCTTAATCTGTAGAATGCGAACAATAGCAGTACTGATCTCATAGTTTTGTTATGAGGATTAAATGAGTTAATATTTCTAAAGTTCTTAGAACAGCATATATAGTGATTGCAACATACATGTTTGTTAATAAATACATAAAATAAAAATATACCAGCGTTGAAAGTAAAATGGTGGTTGCAGGAGCTGGGGGAGGGGTGGAATGGAGAGTTGTTAAATGAGTGTGGAGTTTCAGTTTTGCAAGATGAAGAATTCTAGAGATTGGTTGTACAACAATGTGAATATGCTGAACAGTACTGAACTGTACATTTAAAAATGGTTAAGATAGTAAATTTTATATAATGTGTATTTTCCCACAATTAAATTTAAAAAAAAATACCAGTGTTAGCAAAGTTATATATAATCATCCCTCAGTAGTCAAGGGGAATTGGTTCCACGAACCCCTCAGATACCAAAATTTAAAAATGCTGAAGTCCCTTAGGTAGAATGGCATAGTGTTTGCATATAACCTATGGGTATCTTCTGGTATACTTTAAATCATCTCTAGATTACTTATAATGTCTAATATAATGTAAATTCTGTGTAAATTGTTGTAAATATAAGGTAAATGATATGTAAATAGTTGCTTGGCGCCCAGCAATTTCAAGTTTTGCTTTTTGGAACTTTCTGGAATTTTTTTCCCCCAAATAATTTCAATCTGCAGTTGGTTGAGTTTGCGGAACCCCAGGGTACGGAGTCAGACTGAATTCAGAATCTTTATTAGCACACAGCAGCCCCGTCCACAGTTGCTTTTACCATTGTGAAAATGCAGCTTCCAGTAGTTATCAGTAAGATTCACTTATTTGGTGAACTCATGCAATTAAGACATCATAAAGAGCACAAACAAATGATAAGAAACGACACCTAAGACCATACTGCAGGCACAATTCTGAAAATGTCCCTCCACCAAGATTGCATGCCCTAATCTCTGGAACCTGTAAATATGATGAAATGTCACTCCCTTGATCATGTTATGTTCTATGGCACAGTTGAATTTAAAATGGGGAAATTAGCTGGTGGGCCAAATCTAATCAAAGGAGCTTGTAAAAGAGGAGTGCTTTCTCTGGCTAGGGAAGTCAGAGATCTGAAGCTTGAGGAGTACTGAACATGCTGTTGAAGATGGGGGGGCACTTGAGAAGGAATGGGGGCACCCTTGAGAAATAAGAGTCAGGGAGGCTTAGAATTGTTGACAGTGACCCAGCATGGAAACTGGAACCTAGGATCAGACCTAGGGCCAACAAAATGAATGAGCTCAGAACTGGATTCTTTACCACCAGAGCCTTTTGTTAAGAGGCCAGCCTGGCCAACCCTTGATTTCAGCCTTGTGAAAGGGAGCCTGAGCCTACAACACAGCCAACCCCACCCAGACGCTGACCTTCGGAATTGTCAAATAAGAAATGGGTGTTGTTTTAAGCTACTGAGTTTGCGGAAATTTGTTACACAGCAACAGAAAACTAATAAGACAGGGACAGACAATCCATAGAAGAGAAAATTAAATATGGCTAATAGACATATGAAATGCCTTCTCTTTCTATTAGTCAAAGAAATGAAATCGAAACAACAGCATGGGACCATTTTTCCAGCACTGAAACTTACATAGATTTTAAAAAATTCTAATTCTCTGTATCAGTTAGTTTGCAGTGGAGCAGAGACTCTCAGATGCTGTGAGGTTCGCCCAGATGTTTTAACCTTTCTGAAAAGCTTGTTGGCTAAATGTATGAAAAACCTCACTAATGTGTCTACCCCTCAATCCAGTAATTCCACTTCTAGCAATTTGTCCAAAGGAACTTAAAAGAAATATTTTAAAAGTTAATGTTCACAAGTGCTTAATATGGCTTTGGTTAGAAAAGTCATGCATTGGCAATAGTCTAAATGCCCAACAAGAGGGGAACAGTTTAAATCAATTACAGTATCAGCAAAGGATATATTATACATACTTTTTAAAGGATATTTGTGAATTTTAACAGTGTGGAAAGGTATTTATCAATTTTTATAAAATGGGGGGAAATAGGATAGCAAACTCTATCTACAGTAGGCTCTTAACTATGTTTAAAAAAGAAACAGAAAGAACTACCTACATAGAAAAGGACAAAATGGGGCAGTGCTTTTTGCATATTGGAAGATGAATAGACATTGTTTATTTTCCCTTTTATACTTTTTTGTATTTTCAAAATGTTGAATATGGTAGTTGGTTATAGCTATAATAGTCAATAAACATTTTTTAAAAGCTGTTAAGTCTCTATGCTGTGGAGTATATAATGAATCTAAGACATTTCCCAGTCAAATAACGGAGAAAATAAAAATCCATATGTGACTTACATATGTGGCAGAAGGTGATTTTTAAAGAAAAATTGAAATAGGAAATGATAAATATGGTTGGAAAGATTAAAAATGAAGTTGGATAACTTATTTCACAATAGAGAATCAGTGAAAGCTTTTTGGAGAGGGATTGCTGAATGTCATACTGAAATGATAGAAAAAGGAGGCTCATGGTTGAATTTTCATTAACAGTCTTTGTTTTCTCATAGATTGATGGATTTTAGGCTTTGGATTATAGACTCAGGTTAATTACACAAGTGGAAAACAAAGGACTATGATGGATATATAGCCATTAGCCAAAAAAAAAAAAAAAAGAAAGAAAGAAAGAAAGAAAACTGCACATTATTATGACTAGGAAAAACCAAACTGGAACTAGGCTGATAACATCTGCATTAAAAAAACATCCAAAGCTAATATTTATTGAATATTTATCAAATACTTAATATACTCTATTCCAGTTTAATCATGTGTGCAGCCTTCACATAATACCTGAAGTTAAGTCACACATTTCCATATTTAAGAAGCAAGCAGGTAGATGGGTACTACTTTAATTACTGATTTCAGAAGACCTGATTTTTTAAAATTGAAGTGTAATTTACAATATTGTGTTAATTTCTGGTGTGCAGCATAGTGATAAATATGTATTCCTTTTCATATTCTTTTTCATTATAGGCTATTGCAAGGTATTGAATATAGTTCCCTGTGCTATACAGTAAGACCTTGTTGTTTATCTATTTTATATGTAATAGTATCTGCTAATCCTGAACTTCCAGGTTATCCCTCCACCACCTCCCTTCCCCACCGTGATCATTATTTATCTTCTATGTCTGTGAGTCTGTTGCTGTTTTGTAAATAAGTTCATTTGTGTCATTTTTTTTTTAGATTCCACATGTAAGTGGTATCATATGGTATTTTTCTTTCTCTTTCTGCTTATTTAGCATGATGATTTCCAGGTCCATTCATGTTGCTGCCAATGGCATTATTTTATTCTTTTTTAATTTGTCCTTTTTTATGGCTGAGTAGTTATTCTGTTGTGTGTGTATGTTTGTGTGTATATACATCACATCTTCTTTATCCAATCATCTGCAGACTTGATTTTAATAGAAATCTGAAAAGGTTAAACCATTTGAGCAGAATTTTTAGGATTCTCCATCTCTAGACAGTTTCCAGGAGCCCCAAATCACTGCTACTCCTTCATTTTTCCTACTGGCTCCCTTTTCTATTTCCACTTTACCCTCTCCTCCAGCACCTATAGAAAAGTTCTGAAAGCCTCTGTTGCCCTGCTGGCTGCTAGCCAAATGCTGATTTTCTTCATGGGGAATGTTAACCCTTTAAAAGAAACTGTGGGGGTGGGGCTATCTAGCAAGGAATTGGTTTTTTTCTTTTTCCTTTTTCCTTTAGACTGGATTTTGTATTTGGTTCATAAATAGCTGAATTGTATTCTAGCTTAGAGTTTCTGGTACAAGCTAAATAATTCAGAGAACTGAGTACTGAATAAGAGTGGGATAAAAATGACCACCGGTAGTAAATTCCATGCATTAT